AAAAAAAAAAAAAAAAAAGGTTCAATCAGTCAATTTCAACTTCTCGCGGGAAAAAAAGATCTTGCAAAGTTGGAATTGATTGATTGAACTTTTTAGTCCCACCCAGTCTGCCGTTACCACCGCAGCCACGCCCACCCAATGGGCCACGCCCACCCAATGGGCCACGCCCACCCAATGGGCCACGCCCACCCGGCACCCGACGATGCATAAGTGGGTTTTGGGTTGCAGTTTGGGCACTCGGTCTCTAAAACAGTGGTTCTCAACCTTTTTAATGCTGCGACCCCAACCGGTCGTAAGTCGAGGACTAAACCGGTCGTAAGTCGAGGGCTACCCAGCCGGTCATAAGTCGAGGACTTTCCCTGCCCAGGAGCGCCGCGCATGCATGGTTCCGCCCCCTGCGCCGGCCGAGGCGTAGCTGGCAAGTGGCAGAGACGGAGCAGGCCGACCACCAGCTGGCCCACCCCAAGCGAGGTAAGGCATCCGCCGGAAAAGGGGGAAAAAATGGCGGACAAAAAAAATGGCGGACAGCCTTGCTTGGCGACCCCCATGAAATGGTCGATCGACCCCAAATGGGGTCCCGACCCACAGGTTGAGAACCACTGCTCTAAAAGGTTCGCCATCACTGTGCTACAGGATTCTTCCATTTGTAACTCGCTTTTTCATGAACGCCAAACTCTGAAGAAACGCAGGTGCCTTTCTCAAACTCAAAAAAAAAAGACCACCACATACAGGTAGTCCTCGACTTACGACCGCTTACAACGGACTCCCCCAGAGTTACTTACAACCCAGATTTGAAGTTCCGATAGCCCCTCCTTCCATTGTTACATGGTCACCTTTCGGGCGCTTGGGAGCTGGCTGGCATTTACAGCCGTTTACAATGTCCCGCCGTCACACAACCACAATTTGCAAAGTTTGGGGCTGAAAAACCATTGTCTCCAGCAAAAAAAATAAAAATAATTAAAAAATCAATGGGATTTGCTTAACAGCCAACCTGCTTACTTTATGGCCTCCAACCGCTTTCCGTTAACAACCGTCACAAAAGCCTTTTGCAAAATCAGGGCGAGGTCACGCAGCAACCCCACTAAACGACCGGCGTGACTTATGACCAGAATCCCAGACTCAAAACAGTCGTAAGTTGAGGATTACCTATATATTAAAACACCTCTAGCCGTACGCCCATATAAACAAGAAGAGTCAAAGACGCGGTTTTGTACGTTTTAGCAGCACGACTTTTTTTTCTCTC